CCTTGAGAATCAAGTATGCCAGAACCCACCCCAAAAATATTTTCCATGTTTAGTTTTGTTTTTGAGAAAGAGAGAGCGAGCGAGTGAGCACAAGCGGGGGAGGGGCAGAGAGAGAGGGAGACACAGAATCCGAAGCGGGCTCCGGGCTCCGAGCTGTTGGCACAGAGCCCCATGCGGGGCTTGAACCCACAAACTGAGAGATTATGACCTGAGCCTAAATCAGTCGCCCAACCGACTGAGCCACCCAGGAACCCCTCTCTCGTGTTTTTTAAAAAGCAAATTCCGAGTCATTTTTCAGGAGAAACTGAGATCCTTCCACATTTTTATAAAACCTGTAAGTCACACAGAACCTGGGCTCGGTCAGCGTGCAAGGTCACTGCAAGGTCACTGCAAGGCCACCACCCTTTGTTACTGCCGGAGGTCGTGGGGCTCCCAGTGGGGCACGCGGGCCGGGCACCCGGGGGGAGGTGAGTGCGCTGGTCGTTAGGCGTGAACAGGGACAGGTGGGGGGGACGGCCCAGCGGCCGGGGGACCCCGGAGACCCTGCCCTGCCAGGTCCCGCTGCCTCTCCCACCCTCCCCAGGAGCAGGTACCGTGGGCTCAGGGCAGGAAGGAGATGCAGAGGCAGCGAGGGACGCAGGAGCCCCCTGGACGAGGTCCCACGCAGCCCAGAGAAAGGCCCGTGTGGTGACTGCGTGGGGTTAGGGTCCTAGGACGGCAGCGGGACCCCCGCCCCCGCCCCGCCGAGGCACCAGAATCGCCGTGGACTCGCGTTCCTGAGTCCGCGGCTCCAAGCGGGTCCTCCTGACCTCCTGTGAGGTTGGGACACAGAGGCCAGCCAGGCCGCCCGCGAACGGAGGAACGAGTCCTTCAGGGCGACTGGCCCTCCGCGGCTCCCAAGTGGGCCTGGCAGCCGCCGCTCAGCCCTCAGGGCGATTTCTGCTCAGAGAGTCGGCCACGCGGCAGGCCCTGCCCTGGAGCCCGAGGCCTGGCTGGGCTCCCGCTGACGGCGAAGCATCGGGACCCTCTTCCGTGGACTCCTCTGGGCCTCATGGAAAGGGGACCGCGAGGGGTCTGTTCCACCGGCAACACTCAGCACAACGTGTTCTGTCCGACTCAGTCCGGGTGACCGTGGGACTCTGAGAGTGACAGAGGCCCAGCCCCTGCACTGCTGCCCCGGCCAGACGGCACCCGCTCCTGCCAAAGGCCTGACACCACATGTTTTCCCCTTGGATTAGCCTGGCCTATGGTGTGCGCGGATGGGGTCGCAGCCCCGAGACCTGTCTGGGACAGGGGCCCCCAGGACGGGGCCCCCACCTGTCTGGGCTGCAGCTCTGTGCACGGCCTCCGACCCCGTGCCACCCCATGTGCCCGGTGCCGGCTGGGGCAGGAGCGCGCCGGACGGCAGGGAGCCGATGAGGGGGGGAACACGCACACGTCGCCCGATGGAGGCGACTTGTCCAACCCCGGTGCAGCCCACGCGAGGCCCCCGCCACTCCGTTCCAGACACGTCTTTCAGCCTGAGATTGTCACGAAGCTGGAGATGAGGCGTTTGCCCCGTGAAGTCACGCTGAGGCCACGCTGTCAGTGACATTCCTTTTCTGCCAGCTCTTCACGTTTTCATGCTTCAAACAGAAGACAAACACGTTCCCCTCGACACACGCCAGTCTCTGTGGCCTTGTCTGTGGCCACGTGCATGCCCACGGCGAGGGTGGGCTCAGCCCTCCCGCACACCTCCTCCCCTCTCCTCCAGCCAATCCTGTCACTTCCTAGTCAGTGACCCTGCCCTTCCAGGCCCTGAACAGACCCTTCCCCGCTCCCCCGCTCCCCAGGCCCGGGGACCACAACCACCACCCTGTCTCCGCAGGCCTGACTCGGAGGGTCCTGCTGCCCTCTGTCGTCTCAGCCTCCTGGGCTCTGCCATTTGCAGAAAGACCAGGGATCTGTGTCGCCCCGGCCAGCCGGAGGGGTTCTGGAAGTCGCCAAACCTCTGAAATCTGCTTCCTCAATTTACAACAAGGTGTCAGAACGTACGGGCCTCAGGTCCCCTTCTGTTCCGGGGGCCACAGTCCGTAGATCTGGTCAAGGCTCTGCCCGGGGGGGTGGGGTGGGGGGGTGGGGTGGGGGAGGGAGGCACAACCCCTAAGCTGCATCCCAGGCGAGGGTCCTCGTGGCGCTCGCCACCCCTACGAGCTGAACACGCCGTCTGTCTCTCTCCACAGAGGATGAGCTCGGGGACGGTGACCTGGTTTTCCTGCCTTGTTCACCGTGCATTCCGGACAGTGTGCCTGGCAGGGTGTTCAGTAAATACCAGGTTGAAATGAGGCTTCCGTGGCTCTGCCACGAGAGGGACACTGTGGCCTGGTGGCAGTGACCGTGGGGCATCCAGCACCCGTGACAGAAAGGGGCCGGGGAGCCGTGGTGCAGCAGCGGGGGGCAGCCCAAGCCTCGCAGTCACAGAGGCCGCTCAGCCCCGAGAAGGGCAGCGGTGAGACGGGAGAGCTCAGCAGGGCCTCCGAGGTCCCGCTGCTTCAGATGCCACGCGGGCGCCGCGTGGAGAACAGACGGAGGCAGAAGCGAGCGGGGCCGGGAGAGACAAGGTGGGAGGCACCTGGGGATGCCCACCAGTGCCGTTCCCCAGAGCCGCGTGGCCCGGCGGGACTCCCCGCGATGACGGAGGTGCTCTGTGTCGTCCGCCACAGCAGCCACAAGTCGCGTGTGGCGTTGGGCACGTGATGTGTGGCCAGCATGACAGAGGCACTGATTTTCAAATTGTAATTCACTAAGTACAATGTGGCTAGTGGAGGGCTGCTGGGTTTTAAAAAGTTCAAGGAGCCATAGGATATTATTTAAGAAAGGTATTTTGATAGTCGACAACAGTATCACGTAGTTGAAAGTTGCGGGAAGAGTCGACCTTAAATGTTCTCACCACAAAAAGAATCGTAACCGCGAGGGGCGATGGAGGTGCTAACTAACCTTACTTTGGTAATCGTTTTGTAACAAATACATTTATCAATTCATCACGTTGTATACCAGAAACTTACACAACGTTCGATTGCAACTATATCTCAGTAAGGTTGGGAAAAACTTTTAAAGGCATTTTGATATTGTTACTTGTGACAGATACTGAGTCCTGATGCACAGGCACTCGTGCCGGCGGTATTATTCAACTAGTCTGGCTGAGCTTTGTGATCTGTCGTGTCTCTTGGTCTCCAAACCTAGTATCCCGTCTACTACTCTGACCTGCTGTTAAAAGTTCGCATGTCTGGAGGCGCCTGAGTGGCTCAGTTAAGTGTCTGACTCTTGATTTTGGCTCAGGTCATGATCTCACAGTCCGTGAGTTCGAGCCCCACATCGGGCCCTGTGCTGACATCTCAGAGCCTGGAGCCTGCTTGGGATTCTCTCTCTCTTTCTCTCTCTCTCTCTGCCCCTCCACTGCTTGCACTGTCTGTGTCTCTCTCTCAAAAGAAATAAATAAGCTTAGAAAAAGTTAACGTAGGGGAAAACCTTTTTTTTTTTTTTTTTTTTAAATAACAGCCATTGTAACGGGTGTATTCCTTATACCAGACAATTCAGGGCAGACTTTAAAAAAGGGGCGGGTCTGTTTGTTGTCAGGGAAGAGGCAACCATAGGGCATCGTTATCAAGGACACGGGCTGTCAGACGAGCCTGGGTTCACCTCCCGGCTAGGTCATGTGGCGGCTGCGTGACCTCGGGTGGGGGAAGCCCAAATGTCTTTACCTGACAAATGGTAATGAAAGTGTTAAGTCCGCAGGGCCGTTGTGGGATGACCACTTTCAGTGTCAATACGTAAGAAACAAAGTTGGGGACAGATCTTTTAAAAAACACTCTGTGTGTTTCCCACACGGATTACGTATCGCTTTCGGGAGAACGTAGTTGTCACTGGCCGGATGAACGCAAAGGGTGTGTGCTCACACACGAGGCCCAGAGGGACACACACCGAAGAGTTAAGAGTCGTCCACACCTGCACAGTGTGCCGCACTCGGGCCTGCCCACACACACGCGGGCGCGGCGGGCGGGCGGTGGTGTTCACTCAGGGCCGTGCAGCGGGGCGCTCGGGGGGTGGGGTCGGTCGCGGCCCCGCACGAGTGACACAGCCGGCTGCCACCACCTCACGGTGACCCGGCAAATACGGCCGTGGGGAGGCACCGTCCGCCTTACAATTCCTCTAAAAGATCGCAAGAAAAAAACCCAAACGTGGGCGAGACGTCACTGACGCACGGAGAAGGCACAGCTTTGGAAAACGTCTCGGCTGCACGCGAGCCGAGGTCTCCCGAGCGGGAGGAGCGCGCTCCCCGGGCTATGCTGATGCGGGACGGACGGACGGACGGACGGAGCTGGAAGCGCCCTGGCAGCGGCGGCAGGGACGCGACGAAGGTGTTTACGGGTCTGGCGGGGGGCCGGGGGCCGCTCGCTTGGATTCCAAACGGCATTGTCGTCCGCCTGCTAACAAACCAGACGGTGGAGAAAGCACGTGAATCGCGCCTCGCTCATTCTCCAAGGGCCCTGAAGAGGACGAGGGCCTTAATCCCTGAGGGCCCCGTGTGAACGCGCGGGGCTCCGCTCCGGGCCGCACGCGCTCCCGGGCCCTGCCGTCCGGATCCAGGGGCTCCGGTGTCAGCGTGGCGCACTCGGCAAGGCTTGGGAAAGGCGTTCTTTGGTCCCCATGCGATTCATTCCTTGGAAGAAAAGGAAATGGGAAGAAAGGTTTCGTGTCCGGGCTTTGGGCCTTTGATCATTTGACGAGCGAGGTCTGTGGCGCGGCCTCTGGCTCTCAGGCCAGACAAAAGCAGCCCGGGCGCGACAGGCCGGGCCAGCTTGTCCCAGAACAAAACCGGGGGCGGGGGCGCAGTGTGGCGGCCTGGGAAAGACCCACTTGGCCGGCGAGGGGCCGTCCTGCCCTTTGATCTCTCCTGAGACCGCGGCCCAGGCCCCAGGTCAGGGGATTTCACACCGCACGCCCCCTTCCCGGGCAGAGGGGAGCAGGTCAAGAACAGAACGGGGGGGGGGGGGGGTGGCGGCTGGGCCCGGGCGTGGGGCGGCCCTCTCTGGCCGGTTCCCCATGGCTGGGCTCCATTGTTGACGGCCGCCCACACTTGACGTGGGATTTGACGTTACATGGCACAGCAGAGCAGGTCAATGCGGGCTGGGGCTCGGACAATGCCGGCACCCCGCCCCCGGCCGGCTGGTCAGGCAGGAACATTCTCGTCCACAGCTGCCTCTCGCGAAGCAGCGACTGCACCTCGCAGCATCCGGCTGTGCCGCACCCCCTCGCAGGACACCCCGGTGACCCCCCCAGCACTGGGAAAGCGTGGCGTCCGCCCCGTGCCTCTGGGCGAGCTGGGGTCCACCCTGGCGCGAACCCACACGGGAGGCATCTCGAACACGAGCGCCGGTCGGGCTCCTTCAGGAGGAATTCTGATTTAACACGAGGCAAGCGTTATGTGTGCAGCAGGCCGAGAAGGGAGGGCAGGTACCAGGGACGAAACAGAAATTCTGCTAGAGCTCCGAGCTCCCGTAGTTCCAAGTTTGCAAACGAAAGGATGTGTTTGATAAGACACAGTAGCATTAGCGGACAGGAAACTTTTAACTAAAAAGATTAGGATCACGTTATGCTCTAAAACCAAAATACGTCTTCACCAGTGTCAGACCTTTTGTGTTTTTGCGCCAGTCTCTTTGTTTGCGCGTGGCCAGCACTCAGCTAATTTCGGGGGCTTAAAATAATATTTGGCGGCACAAAGCCGATCTCGTTCTCCCTCCGGCGTCCGGCCAGGAAGCCGTGGACGTCTGGCAGGGTGTGGGGTGTGCAGCCGGGTTCAGTCCTGGTCCTCCGGGAGCAGGTTGTACCAGCAGAGATGCCTCACGCGCTAGTCTCTACGTGTGAAACAGCGTCCTGCGGGCTCATCCACACACCCGTATCCTTGGTCTGGAGACGGGCTCCGTTTCTCTTGTTTTTAACCACAAGAAAGTGGAGTAGGGGAAATGCTTATTTTAGAGTTGCCAGCATCGGCGTGAAAATGTACTGAATTTGTTTTCTTTTTTTGAATTATTAAAAAGTTTTTTGGATGTTTGTTCATTTTTGGGAGAGAGACAGAGTGTGAGCAGGGGAGGGGCGAGAGGGAGACACAGAATCCGAAGCCGGCTCCAGGCTCCGAGCCGTCAGCTCGGAGCCCAACGCGGGGGCTCGAACTCACGAACCGCGAGATCACGACCTGAGCTGAAGTCGGACACCTAACAGACTGAGCCCCCCAGGCGCCACTGAACCTCATTTCTATAATCTGCTCCTGCTTCTGGGCAAAGGACGTTCTGGAAGGCGGGGCCTGTCTGCGAGGACACACGTGCGAGTGTGTGTGTGGATGGAGGGACCGTTTGGTTCACGGGTGAGAGAGAAGGGAGGTGTCCCCACCTCCTTCCGGGACCCGTGGGTCGTGCATGGGCACCGCAGGGTAGGCGGTGTTTTCTCAGAGCAGCTTGGGCAATGCAGCAGGATCCTGGGTTGCCATGGCGACTTGCGAGTGACTGTCCAAGAGGTGGGTCCGACACGGGGGTTTCCCCGAACGTGACTGTGGAGCTCGCTCCCTGGTCCCTAAGGAGACCCCTCATGGGTTTCTTCCCGAGACTACGTTGTGGGTGCCGCAGACCAGCTCAGCGCCCACACGTCCACGGGAGCGAAGGGGCCGGGGCTTACGTCCTGCTCCCGTGGTCCGCCCAGTCCCAAGGTGGGGGGGCGCTCTCCCCGTGGTCCGCCCAGTCCTGAGCAGGAGTGGGGGCGCCGCTCTCCCCGTGGCCCCTGCTCTCGGGCACTGTTGGTGCCCCTGTGCCTTCTCGCCGTGGGGCGTTCAGGGTGCAAGTCCCGGTGCCGCATTTGGGAGGAAGAGACCAGGAGGAGAGGCCGTGTAGGTGCAGGTATGTCGAACAGGGGGTGTTCCGGGTTTTATCTGAGATAAGACGGGGTCGGGCGACCGCAGTCACCCCCAGAGGCGTAGCGGAGTCTGGAATGACCGACGCTGTATTCTGCAGGTACGGTTTATGCCAACACTTCAAGGATACTACGAACTGCATTTAAAGCTCCAAGCGGCGTCCTCGCCTCGATCGCACTCATCATAGCACGTTCAGCAGGCACTTACCCGGCACCCGCCGCGCGCCCAGCCCCGCGCCCGACACCGGCAGCAAGGGAAGAGCCACAGAAACACCGTGCGTGCTGCAGACAGCTTTCACGTGATCCGGGGAAGGGACAACGAGCGGCTAATTTCCTCCGAGGCCGCCGAGAGCATTACCCCGAGGTTGCCACGGCAACGCTGGCCCCGCTCGGCCCCAACAAAGCAGCCCGCTCGCTCGGAGCCTCACCTTTGGCCATCTTGTTGAGAACCATGTCGATCAGGACGTAGGTGCCGCTCCTGCCCGCGCCGTCGCTGCCAACGGAAGGGGAGAGGTGAGAAC